AAATAAATAAATAAATAAATAAAAAGAAAATCCACACAGCTCACTACCATGCTGTCCTCAGGTCCTAAGGACCCTAGCCTGTCCGCCTGCTCTTTACCTTTCAGAGTATTCATATGTTTCTTTTACATAGGCGTTTCAGTTATACTTAGTGGGAGGAATAGGGAAAAGTGTCTATTCCATCCTCTTGCAGAAGTAGAGACATCAGTTCTAAAACCTCAAATAAAAGTTTCTGCTTTGCAACAGAGCTCCTTTTAACTGGAGAATAGCCTATGAAAGGATGATTTAACTTGGTAATTTGCAATAAATGGAAACTTAAAAAACAGTGCATATAATAGTATTACATAAATCTTTTTCAGAACTATCCCATGTGTAGATACCTAATTTTTTTGGATACTTTTCCAGTCTCTAATTTTGTATCACTAAATTAAAATACAAATGATCAATATGACCCATGTTTAAGATAAAATGATTACCTTTCACTCTTTGAGAGGCATACCTTAGCTTCTGATCCTATTTTCATATAGCTCAGAAAGTTCACCTACCAAGTTTACAGCACAAACAAATACTCTGGACAGAAGTCTGACTTTTTCTTTGTACTTGTTGAATCAATCATAGTGGCTTAAAGTGGTGGTACAAGGTTTTTTGTGTGTGTGTGTGTTTTTAATTCTTTCCTCCTGACCTGCTAAACCATATACGTAGCATTATACCTGCAATAACAAAAATGTTGGCCTACTTTAATTTAATTTAAATTTATTTATAGAATTTATCACTCATTTGTAGAACTCATCGCTATCTGAAATTGCATATTTAGTCATTTATTTCTTATTTGCTATCTCTTCACAATAGACTGTAGGCTTCAGAACAGCAGGGGCCTTTTTGCTCTCTTCTATATCCACCACCTAGAATACCATCCAGCACAGAGTCGCAGTCAATAAACATGTTAGTGAAAAGAGAAGATTTAACATAAAAACTGTCTCCTCCAAGAATCTTTCTCATACTCTTCAAAGTTCACAGCTATGGTACTTTTCTTTTAACATAAAGAATGTAGGTAGCAATTTATAATGTGCAGTCTTTAGTAACTAATACCAATGTCTTCTTCCTTAGTGATTGACACTGTACTGTTATTTAACCTTCCAGATACATGTATTTATGTATGACTTCCCAACTCGACACAAAGAGTGCCCACCAGGAACTAAGAGATACAACAAGGAGTAAGACAGCCATGGTTTCTGCCATCACCATGCTTAAAATTTTTGATGGCACTCAGCACAAGACTTCATCCTTGCTTGGAGCTCAAGTGGTGAGCCTATTAAATGATTGACTTAAAAGCTCTGCCTAGTTTGAAATATAAAGTGAGGGTAACTATAAACATCTTTAAATTAATAGAACATTACTATTAAGTAAGTAAATAATAATGCAATATTTTAAAGTATGCCTGAACTGAAATAGTGCTAGCATGTATACATGTATACTAAGTATGTCTACTTGCATTATCTCATATATTCCTCACAAAGCCCCATAAGGGAGAGTGGAACTATTTTTTTAGTCACTGAAATGGAAACTCAGGAGTGGTAAGTGACTTACCCGATATCAAACAGTCAGTAAGTGATC